TAGATGCCCGGTCAGTAAGGACGCCTGTGGGCAGAGGAGACCCCCCGAGGCAGGCTCTGAACGGGCAGGTCACGGAGAGACAAGAAGAAGGGCGAGATACCGGGCTTGTCCTCTGCACCAGGACCTCCGCGGGCTGGTGTGCAGGCGGCATTGCTCCACTGGTCCTCACCAGATCCCTCGTCTGACTGATGGGGGGTCCAGCTCCACGGGTACCAAGGGCCTGCTGAAGGTCAACGGGGTGCTACCAGGCCCCTGGCAAGGGCTCCCTCAGTGCACCTGCGTTTATAAGCATGGAAGGGCACAAGCAGCATCCCCGATCGTCCCCCCAAGACTAAACCTTCTAGACTTCATTGTGTTCTAGGGTTTCTTCCCTGCGGATCCAGACCCATGTCTTTAGGGGAATGCTCAAACTCCCTGGGCCGGGCCAGGAGGAAAGCGTGTGCTCACACCACATCCCACACAGCCAGGGTGCCCACACGGGCCTGCGAAGCTCCCTGGCATCATAGGGTCCTGCTGGCTGATAACTCTGGAGAAGCTCCTGGGACTGGGGTGGCAGGAAGGGGGACGTGCAAGACATAAGCTGTGGAGAAGGGCAGCATTTCCTGGTCTTATCTGCCCAGGGCCTCGCCGTCCACCTTTCTCGGGCTGAGAAGGAGTCTCAAACAGAAGGGAAGGTAGAGATCATTAAAATCAACTCGGTGTACAGATAAGGACCCTGAAGCCCGAGAAGGGAGGTGACTTGTACGAAGTTACGCAGCACAGGAATGCAAGAGCAGAGGCTCGCTGACTGGTGGTGTCCCTGGGTATTTGTGCTTTCGTATGTCCCTCCATTCATGGGTCCCTTGAATGCCTGCCATGTGGTAGATGAACAGGTCAACCACAGACACGAGGACTTCCCTGCTGGTCCAGTGGCTCAGACTGCACGCTCTCAGTGCAGGGGGCCCGGCTACTATCCCCGGTCAGGGAACTAGATCCCACGTGTCACAACTAAACAATCTCACATACCACAGCTAAGACCCAGCACGGCCAAATAATCCACGTTAAAGAACAACAACAGCACAGCCATGGCCCCTGCCCAGACGGCGCAGGCACGCAAGCACAGACGCGATTCCGTCCAAGAATGGGGTAGGGGTAGAATGCTAGGGTACAGGAGGAGCGTGATGGTCCCGTCTTTGGTCAGACTAAGGAGGCAGGAGGCAGTGCTTGTGGCAAGACCTGGCGGATGAAGACAAGCTGGCCAGGGAAGAGCAGGAGCGGGGAGGGACAGGAACAGCTGAACTTAGACGCAGGAAAACACCTGGCGTCTTTGAGGAAGCAGGAAACAAACAAGCCGCAGAGAGCGCGGGTCTGAAGGGAGCCAGACGAGGTCTAAGAAGGGTGTGGGGATCAGGCAAGGCCCTGAACTCTCGCTGAGGACTGTGTGTCTTATCCTCAGAGACAGAATCTGTTGCGCGTTTTGCCTGGCGAGGTACAACAGGAAGCAGGAGAGAGGAACCATATGTGAGGCTGTCCCGAAAGAACCGTGGAGCCCGGTGGGAGAGGGACAGAGGGAACCCACGGTGCAGGAGTCAGGGGCGGTCACTGGGCATCCCAACGTTAGAACGTGGGCAAGGGCAAGAGGACAGGACGGCTCCGGGGGAAACAGAGGCCGCTCAGGCCGGGGAGGAGGCAGGCAGGCAGGGTGTCACAGGCAGGCAGAACAAGCCTGCGGGCGGCCGACTCAGCATCGGGCGGCCCGCGTGTCAGACCACGTGCTGGGAGGGTTTGCACCTTTCTTGTGGAATCCCCCCAACCGCCTGAACTGCAGTAGGGGACGTCCCCTGCACACGCACCGCCAAGGTGCAAACTTGCAAAGATGGGAACGTGCGTCTGGGTCCAGCGAGGAGCCGGAACCTGTGCCACCGACGTCGGGTGTGAGTGAGCTTGCAGCTCGCCCTCCTCCGCCGTCTCTGCTCACTGACGGCCCTTCAGTGCTGCCTCCAGGCAGCAGCTCTTCTTGCCTGTTCACGCCATGCCAGCCCTGTATGCCAGTCATTGCACGCTGGTGCCTTTCAAGGTTCTGTGCTGTAGGGTAAAAATGTTTTGTCTTTTATGTATTATTTGTGCAAAAAGTATTATAAACCTATTACGTGCAGTACTATATAGCCGATTGTGTTAATTGGGTACCTAGGCTAATTTTGTTGGTCTTAGGGTCACATTGGACTTAGTAAACGTGCTCTGGGAATGGAACTCGTTCGTATGGAGCGGACTTACTGTAATTTTTTATCACCGTTTTCTAGATGCACAAATTCAAGGTGATGGCAGCAAAGGGGTTTTCCCCACACTTGTTCAGCGAGTATGAGGCAAGAGAGGATACTAATCCAGGCCTCTCTGCTCACAGGGTCTCCCCACTGGACCTCAGCTGTTGGATCTGGATGTGGCTCTGCCCTCAGTCTCCCTACTTTGGAGGATTTTCTCTAGGTCTCTTTCGAGCCTAACGTTCTCTGCTTCTTGGGGCAGTGAAGAAGTTGCAGAAGAACATTCTAGATGGGAACGGTATGGCCCCTGCATACGCATGGAGGCTGGGGAGTGTCCTGGAATCAGGGCATAGTGAGCAGCTGAAAGCAGCAAGGCAGCCTCTGCATGGAAGTGGTAGCTGTGGGGATGCTCACCAGGGCATCCCACACCTGTGAGCTGGAACTGAAGAGAGAAACTAGGAGTTGCACTAGCCCTGCTGCAGTGAGTCAGAGAGAGGGCGAAGTGAACACACCTGCATTCGTATTCTACAGCTTAGACGCTGGGGACACAAGAGTGAGCAAGGCTGACACAGTCCCCACCTTGCTTACCGAGAAGGAGGCACACCGGGCATGTGGCAGGCATTGCTTGCTGTGTTCATTTTATCGGCTAATTCATTACCCCTCGTCACAACCACTGGAGGGGCACACTTTCACTTCTCCCCCTCTAGGAAGGATCACTGAGGCTCAGAGACATTGTTACCTATTCAGGGTCACACCTCAGTTAGGTGAGAGAGCTGGGCCTTCTACATCAATCTTCCTGTTCATTCCTACACTTTTAAATTATTGAGAAGTTGCAGGTTGGGGAGGCTAAGAGGGAAGAAAGAAAGGCACAGAGCGGGGAGAAAGTGTTCAGGAGAATGAGCCCACAGCCAGAGGGACAAAGATGCTCTCTGAGCCTTGTGAGCACTCGAGACCCTGCCCAGGCAGGAGGCGAATGAGGTCATTAAATCTATCTGCGCAGATGGGGGACCCTCTAGGGAAAGTTCTATGCAAATGTCATGATGCAATGAGATGAAATCCACTCGCGTCAGCCCAGGCTGGGGCTCAAGCAGGGACCACACTGTGCTCTTTGCAAAGACAGATCCTCTGCCGTGTGGGGAGGACGTTCACTCTGCTGGTCTCTTTCTCACAGTTTCTAGAAAGGAAAGCCAGCCCAAGGTCACAAGGCATGTGAAGGGATGGACTGGGAAATGAAAGTTGGGCCTCTCCAATTTTGTAATCTTTACATATATCAAATAATCCCTCTGTGCACCCCTCACTTTTTCTTATGCTAAAATCTGCTCCTAGGATCCTTCAACCTAATTTTCTGCAAAAAAAAAAAAAAAAAAAATCTCTCTGTGAAATGTTCCCCACCAGGATTTCGGGTGCTCTAGAACAGGGGTCCCCAACCTCTGGGATCTAATGCCTGATGATCTGAGGTGAAGCTGATGTAATAATAATGGAAATATAGGGCACATTAAGTGTAATGCGCTTGAATCATCCCCAAACCATCCCCCGACCCCTGGTCCACGGAAAAACTGTCTTCAACGAAACCGGTCCCTGGTCCCAGAAAGGCTGGGGACCACTGTCCTAGAAGATGGTCTGAGCTTGCCGGCAAAAGCTTTTGTTATTTTCCTCATCCCCAAATCAAAATTACCAATATGTGCAGAGAGTTAGGTTTTCCTAAAAGACATCACTGCATCTTTTATATCAGCGGATCGCCACAACAGTCCTAGAAGCTATATATTCCATTGTACAAGTCTATTAACTGACACTCATGTGATACATGACAACTTTTCAGTCACAATTTCATTCAGCCTTCAGAGTCCACAGTGCAAGGCAGGTCTTGTTCCACTGATTTCACAGCTAGGAGGAACCTGAGGCTCAAGGAGAGGTGGCTTGCCTTACTTTAAAATACTGGATTTGTCCCTTACTCGTTTGGGCTTCCCTGGTCGCTCAGTGATAAAGAATCTGCCTGCCAATGCAGGACCCACAAGAGATGTTGGTTTGATCTCTGGGTTGGGAAGAGCCCCTGGAGAAGGAAATGGCAATCCACTCCAGTATTCTTACCTGGGAAATCCCATGAACAGTGGAGTCTGGTGGGCTACAGTCCATAGGGTTGTAAAAAAGTTGGAGACGGCTGAAGCAACTAAACACCACCACCACCACTTTGGGCGAATGCCTGCGCCTTTCTGAGCCTCAGTTTCTCCACCTGTGAAAGGGCGGTTGCTTTAGTGCCTATCTTACAGAGTTGGACTTCCCTGGTCGCTCAGACGGTAAAGCGTCTGCCTACAATGCGGGAGACCTGGGTTCAGTCCCTGGGTCAGGAAGATCTCCTGGAGAAGGAAATGGCAACCACTCCAGTATTCTTGCCTGGAGAACCCTATGGATGGAAGAGTCTGATAGGCTATAGTCCACGGGGTCTCAAAGAGTCGGACACAACTCAGAGACTTCACTTTGACTTTACAGAGTTGTTGAAGAATTCAGCTCTTTCCTAGTTGTAAAGCATTGAGCACATTGCCTGACCTGTAATACATGCCCGTGAAAATGGAAACAGCTAGATAATGACCATGGTGATCCTAATAAAAGTTATCATAAGGCTAGCAAGAAGCAGAGTCATGACTTGAGCTTGAATCTGCTGCCCCCAACATCCAGTGATGAACCCTCTGCCCTGCACTGCTTCTCTAGAAATTTCTGTTTCAGCCCCAAGCACCTGGCTCACCTCTTCTGCCTTTCTCTCTGCAGGTCACACCCTTCCCCATGTCTTGTGACCTACAGGGTGACTGTGCTTGCCGGGACCCCCAGGCCCAAGAACACAGCCGGAAAGACCTCCGAGGATACAGCCATGGCTAAGGAAGGACAAGGAGTTGTCAAAGAATTCCCAACGCCAGGACCCGCATCCCTTTGGTATTGATTTCACAGTCAGCTGCTCAACGGAATGGCCTCTCCACACCAGGGATCCTTAGCACCCAACCGGTCTGCCTTTAATTTCACCCAGGAAGGACTCGTAGAGTGGGCGTGTGAACCAAGTCTCGCCATGTTGGATGATGGAATAGAATCCCATCTCAAAGTCTTAGAAGGATTGCACATACAGCGTGCAGTCCCTGAGCCTCCTAAAATTCTAACCATTTGTCACGTGACCACAGCGAGAAACATATTCTGTATCTAGGAGTGTGCCCATCTGTGGTTAGTACGCATGCATGCATACGCACCCGTGCAAACATCCGTGGGAGGGCAGTTTTGGAGACTGAGCAGAGAGAGACTGGGACAGACTCAATCCTTCCTCTCCCAGGCTCTTAACCAACACTGTCCTTGGGAGAAAGAGAGTTACAGAAACTGCTAAGACCAAGTGTTAAATGCCAAGGTAGCTCACACCCTGAGGCTTATAGAATGCGTAAGGTGTGCCTGAGTGTGCAGTCCTCTGGGATTGGAAGTGAAATGGTCTCTGATCACCTCCCTTCTAGGGAAGTAGGACCCGAGGAAGAGGTAAAGAATCCAAGGTATGCCAAGCCCCCAGGGTTCAAGGCCAAGCTGGAAATGGCTTAGGATTGCAATGTCAAGGTATTATAACAGCCCCCGGCTTGAGGCCATAATATCCCTCACATCCCCCACATCTTGCCTTGGGACCACACTTGCTGCTACTTTTCCAGCTGCTCCATCCTATACATGAGTACCCCAAGGTGGTAGGACTAGGTTAGGAAAAACCCCCACACAACCAAACAGTCTGCCTTAAAAGTGACCCACATTTCCCCACCACTCCTCACGTCTTAGTCCTTCTGCAAGGGAAAACCCCTCATTGGCCCACGTGGTGAGAAGTGAAGGCCCCCCTGGGTGGGCTTCTCATCCTGGAAGGGGACTGAGGGGCTTCCGATGCTGGAACCCTCACCGAGAGTCCAGAATGTCTACGCCAGTGTTAGGCTTTACAAGCAAGAGGAACAGTGTTACATGTCTGTGACGTCAGAGCCCTCCGGAAACGGTTGGCGTGGCAGGGGCTCTTGGGCTGGCATCCTTATCCGAGTCTTCCTGCCCCTCCACGGCGAGAGCAGACTGTGGGTCTGAGGGCCTCATTGTGCCCTGAGCAGCAGTAGTTCTGGAGCAGAGAAGCACCTCGGATGGGATCCACACCTGGACTGTGCTCTAGAGGGGCCTTCAGGGGATGGCCCAAGGGTGTCCAGTCTTGGTCCCCACCCACCCAGCATGGTCATCATGCCTTCCACAGAGCCTTCAGCTCCCAGACTCCCAGCCACCTCTGTCCCAGGGTGGCCCTTGCCTCCTATCTCCCATGTTCAGCCTCCAAAAGGTAAGAGGAAATTAGCCAGATGCTCACAGAAGCCCCCACCTCTTCGGGGTCCTCTTTGTTCAGCCAGTTAACCTGTCCACTCCTTTTGAATTAGTAAGGGAGGTGAGGAATACAGAATGAGGTGGAAAGAAGGCTGACATTTACCCTGATCTCTGAAACTGAGAAAGCGAGGTGATGGGAGGGTCTAAGGTAGAGATAGTGCATAAATATTGCCCCCAATCATCTCAAGTCTAGTGAAGACAACCAACCAAAAAACCAATAGCATAGACATGGAAGGTACCAAGCATGTGGCCGACTCTCCTCATTCCTGCATCCAACACAGTCGCTGTTCATTAACTAGAGCCTTTTTTTTTTTTTTTTTCCAACGGGGACCAAAAATAACTTCAGAAACCTTCCTACTGTTCTCTCTCCCAGCAGCAGCTAACTGCTGACCGAGAACACTTGAGAAGACGTCTTTTGGCCATCTGTAGTCTGTTACATTAATAACTATATCAAGGTGCTTTTCGTACAGGTGCCTACAAATAAGGACGCAGTGCTTAGATAGTTTTGTGTGGCTTCTGCCATGTTACAATCTCTGAGATTGGGTTCCAGGCATGCCATTGTTAAGGCCTGACTCAGATCCATTATGTTTCCTTCTTACAAACTTGTATCTCATTTATACTGAGGGCATGGGTTTTCTTTTTTCCCTTTAGTTACCAGGGCCAATCTTTGGCAAGAGAATAATAATTGTATAAGCATCGATTCCATTTTGTACCCCTCTCCAGTATCTTAGAACTCTGGCCAACTCTTCAAGTCCCCTCATGCCCTTGCTGAGTTATCAACCTGAGTGGTGCTAGATAGGAAGGAACAAATGAGGTAAGATGTTAACAGAGTTGGCTCTCCCAGCTGCTTTTTTTTTTAACATCAGTAAGTAGCACAGAGAACCTGGGAGACCTGAAGACAACGTTCCTGATGGTGGGGTGGCAGGAACCACAGCAGAACCTCACCAGCTTCCTTTCAGCCCACTCTCATGCTCTTTCCTCCTCCACCCACACACATTCTGCAGCTGACTTCTGCCTTCAGGGTCTCAGATTGATCAAGCCCTTCTCAGCAAAGTGTCTCCCAGTCTCCTCCTCACCATCATTCAAACCTGTTACTCACAAATGCCTATTTGCCAGGGATATTAGGTGGGAGAGGCTGCCTGGTGGGTGGGCAGCCTCAGTCCCACATGCAAGGTGCCACTGATAGGTCCTTCTCCTACCTTAGTGGAGGACGGTCGGCTCCATGAATGCAGTGCGCTGATACTCAGCTTCATTTGCTTTCTGGGGGTAAACTCACTCTCTCACCCCTTTATCAACTTCAGTTTAGGGCGGCGGAGTACTCACAGGAGGCGTCTCTGCAGCACTGCTGTCTATCAGCAACTCAGAGGTCCTAAAGCACTTGGAGGTTCTGAAGATGGGTTAGCTTCTTCAGAACTTTCTCCAGAACGTAGAGGTTCTGAAGAAGGATTCGCCTGTTAACAGCAAGAAAGAAAAGATCAGGTGGACAGGTCGCCAAGCCTTCTCTTAGGAAGACTGAGCCTCAGCCCTACTGGCTGCCAGAGGACCTGTGTTATCCCCTAGATTCTGTGCCAGCCACCTTTTAAGGGAAGACAACCCTTGGGAAGTCCATTCTGGAGGCTGAACGGGGGGTGTTATGAAAGGGGGAGATGAGTGGTTGTAACTAGTAGGGCTCTGAGGATGGAGGGTATCAGCTGCTTCTCCTGGCTTCAGCATGTTGAGTCACTGCCTAGACAGTGCTCTTGGTCTTTTTCCCGCCTTGGCCAATGCTTCAGTGCTATTTGTTGACAATAATTCTTTGAGACAGATTCTGGCTACCTCCCTTCCAGGTTTGGTTTAACTTGGTTCTGTCAGTTTGTTATAGGTCTTACCTGTGTTAAGAAAGGAAAGAAAGAGAGGAAGAAAAAGAGGAGAAAAGAGGGAAGGAAGAAAGGAAACCATAAATTCAAGTTAACAGATTTGAGGTTTTTGTGTTTTTTTTTTTTCTCCTCAAACTACTTCAAAGGGAAAATATAAAAGAAGAGATGGATGGTAACAAAGCTGTACAGATAGAGATTAATAGAAGACAAAGAGATTAAAAAGTAAAGCATGATTAAAAATAAGAATTTTAAGAAAACCTATTTTTGTGCTTCCTGAAGAACATTCTTTATTCTACAGACTGAGTAGGTAGACACAGTCTAAAGATTTCCCTAGCAGGAGTAGAGAGGGGTTTTATAGCGCTGTCTGTTCTTTTCTGTACATTGTGGTAGGTTCAGGAAATAAGGCGTCTTTCCCCTTAATATGTAGTTGATATTGTTGGGGGAGGGTGCATTTTTGTCTATTTGTTTGGTTGTCAATCAGTAATAGTAGGGAGTGGGGAGGGCTTGAAATCATTTTTTTTTCTTTTTCCTAATATTAAGGGGACATACTGTGTTGCGCTTTTCACATTATGAAATGTTTGTATTTACCGTTAGAGCACTGGGCTTTCTAAAGTCTGCACTTAGAATCACACTGCACAGTCCACTTTCCTAAGAAGCTGCTACATGACCAGACAGGTAATTCCCATGGTTTTCGAGAAACAGAACAAACCAAGCAAATAACAGACATAAAACTAAACAGCAAAAGAATCAAAGCCTATTCTTGGCAATTTGCTCACATTTTGCCAAATTCCTCCCAACTCTTTGATCTTGAAGAGCAATGTGTCATAGCCAAGACAGGAATTATGTCCCTCGAGTGAGAACACAGAATTCTTGACTCCAGGCAGCAGTTTGCTCTGTGATCTTAAACAAGTCATGATATTGCCTCTCCATTTGCCTCAGTTTCTCCAGCTGCAAAATGGGGATAATACTACTTAACCTACCTCACAGCGGGAGGGCAGGGGATTGTGAGGCCCCGAGGCTTCTAAGGGGCTGTGGCAATCTATATGAGAGCCAATCTGTGAGAGCCTGACACAATGTCTATGGGTTACTTTTCAAGAATGCACAGGCCCACCGGCCACTCGAGAAAGACAGGGAGTGCTCATTTGGTATTTCAAGGAATGGAAGTGAGCTCCTAGATTAGAACCCACCTTGAGAGAGGCTTCATTTGAGAATATTTTACTTGTAGATAAGTTGGACTTTCTCCCCTTATTCGGGCCTTTACCAGTTCTGTAATTTGATTTAAAAAACAAAACAAAACAGTGACTTCCTACAGTGTAAAAGTCAGTTTACTGCTTATTCAAGACTTCCAGGCCACTTCCAGCTTTACAGAGGAAGGGAGTCCCTAAGTTTTCTTTTTCTTCTCAGACTTAAAATTCCACATCGAGTGTTCCATTAAAAGAAGATACGGCATTCTGAGTGCAAACTCGGGGTTTCTTAAATTCTACACCAGCAGTCAGTGAGGAGAAGTTTGAACAATTAATTGACTTGCTTTCTTGGGTCTCTATAATCAATAACCTGTCCGCAGATATCTATCTATATAAAGATATTATATATAAATATAAATTTACATATATATGCACATGTATATATAGTTGTACATATATGTGTGTATATATA